TATATATATATATATATATTAGTAGCTTTTGTAATTATATACAAGAGATTTAGAATCTAAAATGTAAAGAGTTACTTACTATTATAGTAGTAGGTAAAAAAAACGGTAAAAGTTATTTCAGGTCAGAGTTAAAAAAAATTGTAATTGTAACTTTGATTTTTTTTAAAAATGTAATTGTAAAAGCTATTTATAAGTAAGCTATTTAGAAGTGAAAAATATGAACTTCGATTTTTAAGTATACATTTGTAAAATGTAAATAGTTACTTACGAGTATAAATTTTTTCGTTTTTTTTTCTAAATTGCTCGATTAAAATGATTTTAATTTTAATTATTTGTATTTATTATATTTTTTTACTTCTTTTCCGGTGGATTGGTGGAAATTGTATAGCTTCTTGTTAAAAAAAAACTCAGAATGATATTTTTGTCACGTATGTTTTCACATTGAACTGGTTTGAAATGTTTGATTCAAATGATTTGTCTTTTTCATTTAATATAATAAATAAAAGAAGATCTAAAAAATATATAAAGTAATGTACTATCTATCACTTTCTCAAGTTATCCAGTCCCTTTCCTTCCTTCAATTGGATTGATTTGTCTCCAAAAAATTCAAGCTTTCGTCTACGAAAGAACTTTCCATATTAAAAACTTTCGATATTCTTCTTTCTTTTTGTACGAAAAAAATTCGTGTAGTCGTCATCTCGATCTTGGAGAAGAAAATCATGGAATTTGTAACGATTCTATTTGGGTATGTCCTTGGAAATTTTTGTTATTGTTTGTGTTTTTTATTTTTTATTTATTTAACATATGTTATTTTTTATCCTGTCTACATATGAAAATTTAGTTTCGCTCATATTTTTCTACGTAATATGAGGTATGTTATTCTTTCTATATATATACATGAAAATCTAAGTAAATTTTTCTTTATTTGTTGGATATAACTATGAATGTTTTATTTTTCATTTTTTTTCTTTCATATGTATTTATTTCTTACTATTTTTTTCAAGTTTAAGTAATGTAACATAATTTTTTTGTTCTATGTATACAACTTGGTTACATCTTTCTTTCTTTACCGTTATCTACATGAGAAGTTTAAGTTTTTCGGTCATTATTGTTTATGTTTAATGAAGATTACAACAGTTTGGTATAGGAATGTTTGATTGTTATCCTCCAGTTAGTACGATTTATAGTTCTTTTTTTACGTGCATTTCTGAAGAGGATTGTTGATTTGTGGAATGTTTCCTAATATGTATCTGAGTTCAGTCAATTTAGTTTATACTGTGTTTAATGTAATATTATCATTATTTGTTGATTTTTAATTAAATTCATAATTTTTTCTATTATTGAAATCAAAGGTCAGTTCATTGTTTTCATGGATTATTTCGAAAAATCTATGAATGAAGAGTCTGGTGGTTTTGATCTTCAAACTTTGTCCCTAAGTACAAGTCAATCATATAATGCTTTCATTTGGCAACAACAAAATCGAAGGCAGGCGGATAGGAGATATCGAAATGAAACTGTAAGTATTGATCGTAGTAAAAGAATAAATGATCGTATGTTATCTACAAATAATACTTCTGAAGTTGATTATGGGCATGAATATATAATACATTCTGTGGCATCTACTTCGAATGAAGAAATGATAAATTTTTTTGATTCTGAATTATGTTGAAGCTCTAATTTGTTAAGTGTACCAGCAACTGCATATATATTACCAATTTGTGCTTATTGTAAGTATTGTGGTGCACGCAAATTGTATAGAGAGACTAAAGGTTTTTGTTGTTCTGATGGAAAGGTGAAACTTTGTATGCCCGATTCATCGGATGAATTTGTACTTTATTTACGTCTAAAGAGTCTATATCTATAAAATTTAAAAAATATACACGTTCATATAATAACCACTTTGTGTTCACTTCATTTGGTGTAAAGTGTGATAAAGAACTGTTTAAAACATACAAAGGTATCTACACATTTAGAGTTCAGGGACAAGTATATCATTATGTAAATCAACTTATACCGGATAATAATAAGCCTTGTTATATGCAATTATATTTTTATGATACAGCTAATAAACTAGAAAATCGTATGAAAATTTCAGAACACCTGATAGAATCTATTTTATTTCTTCTAATCGAAATCTTGAAGGTAAATCTGTATAGTAAATTTTTTAGGTTTTTAAGCAGTATAACTGATCTGCATGAGCATCAAATTCAAATAAAATGTCACCCAGGACTCGATCGGAGAATCTTTAATACTCCGTCGGCATCTCAAGTAGCTGCTCTATGGGTTGAGGATGATGAAAATACAAATATTAGCGTTCGTGACTATATTTGGTCATTCTGATGATTCGCATAGGGTTCATTATTATTATGGTTGTTATGATTCTCTACAATATCCTTTGCTCTTTCTATTGGTGAATGGGTTGACATGAAGGCATTCTAAGATACGAACAAACATCTTCTCAAATTGCACAGTTTGTGGACAATGTCGCTGATCCTAATGTAATAAATTCTGTGGCTCAAATTATTGAAAAAGAGGCTGCAGGTTTGCTATACACTTTCTTGTGTCTATTATAGTTCTACAAATGTGATATTGAAAGTAAATATAAAATTTTATTCATTCTCGCTTATGTANGAAACAAATTCGTGCTGAAATTTATCAAGGTATCGTAGACAGTATACATAATGGAGAAACAAGAGGGTACAAAATTGAAAAGAAATTTGTTTTACCACAATCCTTTACATGTGGACCTAGAGATATGCTAAGGAGGTACTTAGATGCTATGGCTCTTGTCCAACGTTATAGAAAGCCAAATTTATTTATAACTATAACATGTAATCCAAATTGGCCAGAAACTAAGCAAGAATTAAAACATAATGATGAGGTTCAAAATTGACTGGATCTTATTGTACGTGTATTTAGAGCAAAATTAGAAGAATTTAAAAATGATTTATACAAGAGAAATATTTTTGATCCTGTTATAGCTCATATATACGTGATTGAATTTCAAAAAAGAGGCCTCCCTCATGCACATCTGTTGTTGATTTTTAACTGTGGTCATAAAATTTCTTCCACTAAATAAGTTGATAAAATAGTATCTTGTGAAATTCCTGATAAAAATATACATCCTTATCTTCATTCAGTTATTGTAAAGTACAATATGCATGGTCCTTGTGGAAATCTAAATCCTAAAAACACATGCATGGAGAAAAATAGTAGTTGTAAAAATAAATATCCAAAAGATTATTGTAATAGTACAATGTTTGGAGATAATTCGTACCCACTGTATAGGCGGCGTAATAATGATATTTATGTTAAAGTGAGAGGTAAAATGTTAGACAATCAATGAGTTGTGCCATATAATCCTTATTTAAGTGTAAAATTCGACTGTTATATCAATGTTGAAGTATGTTCTTCTATTAAAACTGTTAAATATTTATACAAATATGTATACAAAGGTCATGATTGTATTAATTTTTTGGTTGGCAAAAATAACATAAACAAAGATATTGATGAAATTTCTACTTACCAATCTGTTAGATGGATATCCCTACCTAAAGCTATGTGGAGGATTTTTGCTTTCAATTTATCGAAAATATATCCAGCTGTTTGTGCTTTACAACTTCATATTGAAGATCATCAATGTGTAACTTACAAAAATGCGGACAATTTATCTTCTGTTATTGAGAATGAAAATACGAGAAAAACTATGTTAACTGAGTTTTTTTGAGTAAATAAAATAAATGAATTTGCTCGAACGTTTTTATATCGAGATTTCCCAACGCATTTTGTTTAGAATGCATCTAATAAAACATGGACACCTAGAAAGAAGCAAATTGTTGTAGGACGAATTGTCTCGGTAAATCCATCTGAAGGAGAACGACATTTTCTTCGTCTTCTTCTTAATCATATTAGAGGTCCAACATCGTTTGATAATTTAAGGACTTTCAATGGGGTAAATGTTGGTACATTTCGTGAAGCTACGCTTCTCTATGGTTTATTAAAGGGAGATACTCGTTGTGAAGAATGTTTATCTGAAACTATTATTTACGAAATGCCTTATTCTTTAAGACGTCTTTTTACTACACTTCTTACGATGTGCAATCCAAATAATTCTAAGTTACTGTGGGATAAATTTAAGCTTATATGATAGATGATTATGTAAATGAAAATATGTCCACTGAAATTGTCGAAGTACGAGCTTTAGAGGATATAAATTCTATTTTAGAATCACTAGGTAAAAATATAAACGATTATGGAATTGTGTCATTTAACGTAAATATAGATGACGATGAAAGATTGATGAGAATTGTTGCAAAGGAAACAACCAAATTGAATATTGAAAGAAACTTTAGTTGTGCAGCGATGTTAAATAAAGAACAACAATTTGTATATAATACAATTATGGAAAAAGTACAAGATGAATCAAGTTGAATTTTTTTCATCGATGGTCCGGGTGGGACAGGAAATACTTTTTTATATAGAGCACTCTTGACTGGTGTCAGATGTCGACATTTTATAGCTTTAGCAACTGCATTGTCCGGAGTGGCTGCATCTTTATTTCTCGGAGGTCGAAATGCTCATTCAAGATTTAAAATCCCTCTAGAAATGGTAGGTGAAGTCAATTGCTCTATTAGCAAGCAATCGGCATTAGGAACTTTATTGAAAATGTGTTGGCTAATAATTTGGGATGAGGCACCTATGGTAAATCGTTGTGCTGTAGAATCTATAGACAAAATGCTTAGAGACATCACTGATTGTAACTTGCCTTTTGATGGAAAAGTAATAGCTTTAGAAGGAGATTTCAGACAGATTCTACCAGTTGTACCTAAGGGAAACAAAGAAGACATAATAAATGCTAGCATGATTTACTCGTATTTGTAGCCTTCCTTTATACATTTAGCACTGGTTGAAAATATGAGAGCGAAGTCCGATCCCATTTTTTGTGAATACTTACTTCGAATTGGAGGTGGAACAGAACAAGAACATACTTGCAACTGTATTAAACTACCAAATAGTATAGTTCTACCATTCGAAGATAAAATTACGTCTTTAAAAAAATTGATACAATGTTTGTTTCCCAATATAGACACATATGCTGATCATTTATATACGATGGTCAATCGTGTTATTCTTACTCCTACAAATGAATGTGTTGACTATATTAATGGACTTTTGCTTGAACAAATTCCTGGTCAAAGTTTCACGTACTATAGTTTTGATGATGCAATTGAGAAATTAGAACAAAGCCTGCAAGAAGACTTCTTGAATACTTTGACACCAAATGGTATTCCACCTCATGAGTTGAAACTGAAGATGAATTGTCCTGTAATGTTATTACGAAATATCAATTCTTCCGAGGGGTTATGCAATGGAACACGCCTTACCTGTCGAAAATTTGAGAGAAATGTCATTCTTGTTGAAATCACAACTGGTGAATATCGTGGAAAACAAGTTTTCTTACCTAGGATCCCTTTCATACCTCTTAAAACTGATCGAACTACGATTCCATTTAAAAGGACTCAATTTTCAATTAAACCATGCTTTGCAATGACAATAAATAAAGCACAGGGTCAGACACTTGATTTCGTGGGTTTGTACCTACCAAAACCAGTTTTCAGCCATGGTCAATTATATGTAGCACTGTCAAGAGCAAAAATAACCAGATCTATTAAAGTTCTACTCAAACCGACCAATGAAATCATACGCACAACTCATGTACTAAAAATGTTATGTACAAGCAGATTCTTTCGTTCATATATTCATACAACTGCACCTCTTTAAAGGTATATGTTCGATTTATTGAAATTTCTTTCTTTGTCCGTAATTTCTCTGTCGACTATGCTAAATGAAATGTTTTTTTTCCAACTACAATGCAGATGTTAGATTATTTTAACTGTTGATGAATGGAATGGAGTGGATCATTTTTGTAAGAATTCTAACTGATTAGCATTTTGAAATTGTTATTCAAAATATAAATGACATTCTACTTCAAAACAATTTTTTTTCAAAGTATCTAAATCAATTTAATTTATGCAGCATATGGACATTCAAATTTATGTGAAGAAAGTCAAGGAAATGTTCGTGCATAGGAAAATTATTGGAGCACACTCTTTTCAAAAATTAGTTACTTGAGGTAAACCAAGCTTTCAAGTCTTCAGATTTAAAGATAACTTGTGATGGAGACATAAATAACACAAGTTCTTCTACACTAAAAGAAAAAAAAATGAGTGATGATGATTGAGATATTTGAGAAGTTTTTGGCAACAACTATTTTCTTCTTTTAAATCATGTAGTGTTTAAACTGTCTAGATTAGAAACGATATATACATCAGGGTGTTTGGTTTGCTTTATGGGTGCTAGATAACATCAATTATTGTTGCAAGCTTTGTTGATAAATCTTTTATTTATTTTTGTCTTCTAATTAGATTTATTTTCATCCAAGTAATCTATACCTACATAAACTTATTTTGTAAGTGACATGATTTATTATATTTAGTTGTCAAAGTTAAAACTTTTTAAGATGGTAAGTTGAAATTTTTGATAAACAACTAGCAAAACAATAATGCTTAATGAAAACTAATTATAAAATTGAAAATTAGTATAGTTATGAAACTATCATTAAACTATATCATTAACAACAAAAGAAATATATATATATACACACACACACACACACACACACACACACACACACACACACACACACACACACACACACACACACAGGAATTTGGTGTTGACTTGCTGTGCGAAGATGTCTACTTTCCTGTTTGCACACACAGAATGTGCGGGGTTACATCGCACACCGCCGCAAAATTTGTGCGGGAACACAATTTGTGTTGGGGTAGCCCCCACTAAAATGCACATAATTATGCGAATAATCTCCTCACATTTGTGCGGGCTACCTCGCACGCACCATTTGTGCGGGGTAGCCCCACACATTTGTCTGGCTGCCCCTTACAAATTGTGCCTGTGCACCCGCACACCCTTACAAAGTGCGGTTACCTTGCACATTGGAATGTCCCTCTCGTGCGGTATCCGCACAAATCTGCAGAATACGACATCACTCGCACGAGGGGTATACCCGCATCTTCATTGCTTTCTCTAAATACTATCAACAATATTTTGAGCTATATGAAATTTTAAATAAAATATATATTGTTTTGGTCAAAAATTAATACAAGAAACAAAAAAGTATTATCTCTTTCTTTCATTTTTTGTTCCCACAAAATCTTGCAAAACATTACAAATCTTGCAGAGTCACGAGAATCCTATAAGAAGGTGCCAAAACCATTGCACATATTATGTATATTTCTACAACTGTGGAAATACTTTGTCTATTCTACATGTGAGCCTCTCGTCAAATCATTGAAAAGAGCAACGCACATTTCTTTAGCTTAAATACATTCACAGACCATTTGTTCTCATCAAAAAAATTTAAATATTTTTACCTGCTAGTTACACCAACCCAAGTTTGCTCAAAAAATTCAGATGTTGTCTATTCATTTTTTTCTTACTTTTTAGATAGATTTTTAGTTTTACATAATTTCTAATTTTCAATATTTAATTGTGTTTCAAATCATATGATGTATGTAATTCTTTCTAAATTTAGTAGACAAAAAAATGGACGTGTCAAATAGCTTCTCCAAAATCATCGATATTTCACTAAATCATAACATTCGTTTTGTAAGTTATATAATAATTTCTTTTTCCAGATTTTTTAAAATCTTTTTAATATTAATGTACAACTTATATTTTTTTGGTATTTGTAGATACTTCCTATATCTTTTATCAATTACTGGGAACCAGAATTAGGTAATACACTACGATTAACTGCATATGATGGTATAATCATCACAATACAGTTAGAAAGAATTGACGGAGAAATATATCTGGCTAATGGATGAGAAGATTTTTTCGATCATCTTAACTTACAAGATGATTATGTTGTAGTATTTGAATCTAATGGAAGTTCAATGTTGAATATGAGTATATTTGATCATATCCTACGTTTGAAGTAAAACTTATGCTCGATCATAACAACCATCGAGAAATTATAAGTGTTATTTTTAATACGTCATTCTGTGTTTACCTATTCCACATCATTCTTAATATTAGTAAATTATTAATCCGTGTTTTTGAGTCTATACCAGGAAGAATTACAAAACACCATTTGCGAAGACATGTGCAAAATGTTCGAATCCTCGACTATTTACTTCACTACTTGGATATCACTGCAAATTCAGGAGAAAATGGTGTAATGCGCCGGCTTAGCGTAGGTTGGGCAGATTTTCTAGTAGACAAGTAGCTACAAATTGACGATACATGTGTATTTGAACTATTAAATAAGGAATCTCCAATATTTATGGTTTACAAAAAAAACCATAATAATAGGACTCTAATATGTCTATGAAACATTTTTTTACTAATGATATTTCTAGCTAATAATGTTTAATTTTTATATTTATGCAATAGATAATTATCTCATCGACAGTTTCATAGACTACATTTTTTCCTTTCTTTTTGCATCATAATATTAATAGAGTATACATCATCGACATACAGGATTCATAGACAAAATATGAAGTTATTCTTTAAAAAATGAAGGATATTCCACGAGCATTCTACTTGAGAGCATTCCAAACTAAGCCTAATTCGTCAAATTATAGATTTGACATCATCTTCATGACAGATTTGACAGATTTAGACGATAGAAACACCTCAAGTGAAAAAAGGTAAGAAAATGTTGAGAAAAGCATTTATACAAACTCGCATGAGGAAAATTCGTTGCCTCCAACAAAGAGAGCCATTTTCAAATCTTCCAATGATGCTTCAAATTCAAATGTTACTTCTGACATAAATTCGTTTGCTCCAAAGCAAAAGATAGAGTGAAGAATGACTGAAATATTTTTGTTTGTGAAAAAAATAGATGGCTTGTTATTGTCAGCTTTGTTTTTCTTTATTTTGACAACCATAATGTTGACAAATGATGTATGTATAACATGCTACTTAAATCATTTATTACTATCCATTTATTATGGATAATAGAATATTTAATTTGTATTTTTACAGTTAATTGTCAACATTAATGAAGTATATATTCTAAAGTATATTCTCATTTATTCTTTGTCTTTCATTTACTTTATTTAAAGCAAATAAATAGCTAAAATATCTATGCACAATTTTTCACTTTTAAATTTTGAATTTACGTATTACACCAAAAATAACCTTATGCTAATTTCAAATTGTTTATATATTATAAATTCTTCACATTTACAATAAAAAACTGAACTATTGTCATTCATTTACTTTATTTAAAGCAAATAAACAGTTAAAATATTCATGCACAATTTTTCACTTTTAAATTTTGAATTTACATAGTGGCACCAAAAATAACTTTAAGCTAATTTTAAATTGTTTATATATTACAAATTCTTCATATTTACAATCAAAAACTAATCAGGAATTACGGGGATGTAGAAAATATTGATTATAACAAATGTCCACTACAATCTTTCTTCTATATATACTCATCCTGTCTGTATGAACTGTTTCTAATGGATAGTTTAAAACAAAGCATTCTATGTATTTGAGTAAAAATATTGGAGAATTTGCCCTGTATGAAAGAATTGTTTTCTGTTAGACAAAATAAATAGTAGAAGGGTAAAATCATAAATCAAGAAAGAATAAATGTTGTCAATTTAAATGCATTAAATACATACCTATTATTTGCGCAAGGTAGGTAAGGCATAATTTTCAAATTGAGCCTTTTGTTTCTATGTTTCCTTAAATCTGGTCTTCTAGAAGAAAATTTGCTGGAATTCAATGAAATTTGGACTATTTCAACTAATGACTTTATTTGTTCACTGATTTCTTCTAGTGTATGAGACTCCTCACTACAATCGTATATTTGAACTTTCCATTCCAGAAAATTAACAAGACAGAGTACTAATTTTTTCTCGGATATGAACACGGAATTAATAAATAGTTGCAAACTATCCATGAACGCCCACCCACTGGCAAATCACCATTCATGTGTTGCTATAAAGTCACAATTAATAAATCATTTTGATAATGGCTAAAACATTCTGTCATTACATTATGTTGCCACATCAATTAGGCAACACATTCATTTTTAAATTTGAAGTCCAGTATTGCATATTTTTTGGAAACAAGACTGCAATCTTCATTGATCAACTCCCTCAATAGCTTTAATTCCATTTCTATATGTTAATACAATAAATAGAAATAAATTAGATATGTTAAGCATAATAAAATTAATTAAGCCAGAGTTATAAACTTCACTGACCGCAATATTGATATCTTTGGTTGCATCTATTATAATTTTTATTGTATCTCTTCCATATAAGTTGTCAGTTCCTACAATCTTCCAGTATGCACTATATGTATATATTGTAGTTTAAATTAATACTAAATCAATGTAATACAATTAAAAAAATACAATCAAATTTATTACCTAGATGGATTCCGCACCACCCATTCTCTTATTGTTGTATATCTTTCCATGAGATAGTCTTCTAACGGATAACCTGAATACTTTATTTTCTTATTTTTCTTTTCTTTTCTGGATGTTCCCACCGATGGAATTTGTTGAAATGGTGCTTTCTGGCCACTACTAGAACCAGGAACACCCTGCAACTATGAACAAGCAATAACTTCCAGTTTTGATTCCAAATCATCTAATCGATTAATCACATTTTCGTTTTTGTCGTCAATGTACGTGGTGATTGAAGTAAAATTGCTGTCCATATAAGACTGCATGGAAGCAAAATTGTTGTTTATATAAAACTGCATTCCCAGATACTGATCTTCATGCCATTTTTGTTGTTGTTGAAACATTCCTTGATCCTGCTATTCATGCCATTTCTGTTGTTGTTGAAACATTTCTTTTTGTTGATCAAGAAATGCTTGATAACGAGCATCTTGTTCTTTTGTTTATTGAGCAGTATGATGGGAATGCATGCCAGATTGGAAGCCCAAACCCTCATGTCGATCTTCGTACCATTTCTGATGTTGTTCAAACATTTGTTTTTGGTTTTGAAGAGTTTCTGCTTCCTATCTTCTTGATTCATCAATTATGTCTGTCTTCAGATTATAACATAAGCAAGACATATCTAACACTACATGCTGCCTATACATACTGAACATTTCTTTCATTTCTTCTCTTCTTACATAGTTGAAATCAAGAGAAGAACAACCAAACTCTTGAAGTCCAATTGAAATCTTCGCTATTGAAGTACCAGCAACACCTGTTTGTTGCTCATTCATACGTTGTGAAATTTGTTCCTCGTCCATATATTATGGAATTTGTTGATGTGCATTCTCAAATTCTCTACCAACGATGCTATCTAAAATAATATGTTGGTTATCAGTTTGTAATGATAAAGTCATATACCAAACTTTGTCCAATTCTTCTTTAGTGGGCGTTAACACTTCAAGTACTTCAATCTATAAATATAATAAAAAATTATAATACTTTCATCTCCCACTATTAAATAATTAGATAATTGATAGTCAAATGTATATTTAAATTTATCGTACCTCTTGGGTAGTGAAAATTTGCTTTACTCTTCTCTCACTCAATATTTTTTTGGCTTCCATTTATGCATTCTTGGAGCCTGTAATGTCTTATACATACGTCGTCCAAATTTGTCTTCAATTTGAGGAAATGATTCGTATATCCAAAACTACAATAGAGAATTCAAAATCAATATTAAATACGTATAAAATCAAAATATAGAATAAATAAATTAAAAAAATTACCTGAAAGGCAAGGGGATATCCATGTAGTATATATTTACATTCATTTTGGCCAGATTGTTGCATTCTTTCAATATGTAATTGTTGTAACGACTTCAACAAAACAAAGTATGCCTTACGGCCCCAATGATACAACAAAAAATCATTTAGCTACTCAACCATGCCTAAAGTTCTGTAATCAATATATCTATCCGTTGGTGTCAAAACACATTCTACTAACATCACCAATCCTAATTTTAATTTATCCTCTGGATGTTCATACAATTGGAATGCATCGTAAAGTATTCTCATGTTAATTCTTTTTTTGCCTTCAAAATATTGATCCCTAAGTCGAGAATTGTTGGGATCAAGATTAACAGATTCTTCATGACAAGGTAATCCTGTGATTAGATAAAATTCTTACAAGTCAAAACGAGCAAAATGATCGTCCAACCTCACCCACACCTCATTCTTTTTACCACAGTCAACAAACTTCATTATAAATTCATGTATTAGTTTACTGCTGAATTGTTGCTCTTCATCTCTATACATAAATCCATGAAAACTGCTATCGCTAGAGATTAAAAGTGATTGCTCATCTGCTTGAAGCAATGCTATATAATCTTTTACATATTGGTAATTGGGGTATTAAGTGATAGCACCAGAAAATCATTGGTTTGGTGACAGTATATAATCTAGAGACATCTGCACAAATAATAGAAATGAAAAGTGTCGTAACATATACCAACATATCTTCTTGATTTCATATAAGTATATATCATATATATCATGTTAGTTGGAAAAAAAATTACTGTCAGTGCAGATCAATTATCAGATTTAATATATATTTCTAATTCTGAGATTTTGTCTCCAATTTATATAAAAAATGTTATAATTTAACTTTAAAAAAATAAACAAAAAAAGAGTAATTTCCGAGTATGAGAAGTCCAAATTGGTGCAAGAAGTCCCACACAGTCGTGCGGGGTCCGCACCAAATTCGTACGGGGACAGTGTGGGGAGTCCCCGCACGAATTGGACTCCCCGCATCGGTATTGCGGGTGGGGACTCCTCACACCACCGCGTGCAGGCACTTCTCCACTTACTTCCAACACCACCAACTTCATTTTCGATACAAACTTCACATTTCTTCCACAAATATCAACGATTAAAAATAGTAAGTTATTCATATAAATAACATTATTCATTAAAATCAACTTATCTTAGAATTTGTTGCTTAATTCCACACTGTAATTAATTTGAGTTTTGAGATGAATGAATTGAAGATGTAGATGAAAAATAAGTAATGAATTTGAGGTGAAGAAATAAAATAGGTTGGTGAAATAATTACTAACATTAATTACATTTGACATTTATCATTTTGCAAGATTCTTTCTTTTTTTGGCATTTATTTTTTCCGTGCAAGAAAGAGACATGTTTGTTTTCATCCTTTATCACAAGTGCCATTACACTGAAATTTGACTATCTCAACCAAAAGAATTCACATTCCCACTTACTTTCAAATCAAACCCATTTCTAATATTTAGAATT